GTGGCTGTCTGCAATTTCTCCCCCCAGCAGAGGCTACCAGCCCCCTCCCAGTTCTGTGATAAAGAACAGCATGCACAAGGGACACTAACACCATCAATCCTTCTTCATTCATGACCTAAGGCTGATCTCAAACCAAGCCTCCAGGACAGGAGGCTGGAAAGACCAACCCATTGCCACACTCGGAGCTGGTCTGAGAAGGCAAGCATCCTCCTAGTCTGTGTAACTTGCAAAGAAAGAATTAAAACAGTAAGATAAAATTAAGCAACGGTCTAATTTACTGCTCAGAATTTACTAATATGCAACCTAGGAAGAGCACCAAGGGCTATAAACATTTCAAGACACTTCACTGTGTTTTATCACTATATTAGAGAGTACTTGCCTTTTAACACTTATTTAAGAAAATAAAAAACTTCTGAGCAGTAGTTTCCTGTAAAGACATAAATTAGCACGTTCTGATCAGCCGCAGTAACTGCAGTACAAGCATCTTCATGTCAGAGGTACACAGATCAAAGCCTATGTGCATTTTTACGTATGTTGAATGCATTTGCAGAATGATCCAAAACAAGAAGAAGGAGGATTCACTGATGCTCTTGACATTAAGGTGCAGGTCTGAGACTCAGCACGTGCAGCTTCAGCTCCTTTCTCCACCTCTGCCTGTCCGCACAACCACAGGCATACCACCTAACCTCACCATGGCCCAGCTCTGTAGCTATGAGCATGCAGTAAAAACGCTTCTTCGGTTGCCAAGATTTAATTCACATTGTGCTTAAGAGCAGGCAAACCAGTTCCATACATGAAGGGAGGCAATTTGACATTTCAGATGTCAAAGATAAACCAAACTGAAGAGCTTACATCACAAGGGCTCAACTCTGGCAGACACCGAGTACCCTCTTTTCCACTACAACTGCCTCCTGCAGTCAGCAGCTCCCTCAGCCCTTCAGAGGCACGTTACCCTCACCACCCAATGCCATATCAATGCAATTTGCTTAATGACTAGTGGCAGTTCCATCCTAGGTGCAGGATGAGGTCCAAGCACTGAAGCAGACTACGCCAGGTATTTGAATCCATCTGGAGCTGTTAAACTTGGAGGATATCTCCTTGCAACAGGCTAAAGGAATCCTCCTGCTGAGCACTTGGAGGCCCTAGGACCGTGTGTCTAACGAGGCTGTATCCCCACTCATACGTTAGCTTGGCAGGTCTGGTGCTCCTTTCATCTTTTGCTTCAGGTAGCTCTCTTTAATTAATAACATTTCTGTGTCGACACAGGGAACCTTCCACCCAGAATGAATGGCCCTCTCTCATTAGAACCACGACTTGTCATGATGTATTCAAGAGCAGGAGTGTGATTCATTCCCTTGTCTGGGAACGAGGGGTGTTGCTGGGGGGTGGGGGGAGAAGAGTCTCTGTAATGAGTGACTGATATTTGCTGAAGTTGATATGCGACTCTGTCGGCTTGAACTGCCTTGTCAGGACAAGCCTTCAGAAAGGTGATGTTTCTACTCAAGGGGCTTTCCTCATTAAAGAAATTGCATCTTAACAAGAGGGAAGGGGAGGGGTGGCAGAAGAGCTGCTGTCTCCTCGACTCCAGCCTGGTTCACACACACCGAGCGCTGAAAGCCGGCTGATCCAAGCGCAGTCAGTAGAGGATCAGCGCTCCATTTCTGAGCCCTCTTGCGCGAGGGGCTGTCTCCAGCAGCCACCAAATCCCTCCAACAGGGACTCTCCTTCTGATGGTGTATGATGCCCCTGACGCAGCCTTTGGTGGCATGGACAAGGACCTTGTCTCATGCTGAACCTCCATAAGCCCTTCCCAGATGCTTGGTGTCCTCTTCTGGGCAACCAGCTCCTTGTGACTAATGCTCCCTATTGCCAGAGGGAAGACAGACAATCAGCTCTGTGATCTTCCAAGAAAGCTCCAGTGTTCAAGAGAAATCAAGTCTTCAGCCACACAGTGCCTGATTCCCTAAAGATCCTTGAGCCAAGCAGAGGCTTTGGAGGTCCTTTAGCAGCTGTTTCCATCTTGAATCTTGCAGACTCACATAGTGCTAGACACTCACCAGCAGAAAGCAGTACCTTGACAACTGCTACTCCTCTGGTGCTTTTCTTTGATCTAGGAGTGCTACAAATATTGCAACTTCTGGCTTCGACAGGGCTATTTGCTCACCTTGTCCCCACATCTACCACCGACAGGCTCATATGTTCCTTCTCTTTGTTCCAGCCACTACCTCTCATGCAGCTTGCTCACCCCACTGTGCCTCCCAGTGCCCTGGCACCTACCAGTGGAACCTGCTGGAAACACCCACAGTAGACAGGCCTGTCCAGAAGATACCATGCCTCACCTCTTCAGCAGCACATGCAGACAGAAGCTGAACTAAATGCCCAAGACATTGCCGGAGAAGCCAGGAACAAGGCTGCATGGTTTCCCACCAACAGTCCAGCTCAGGAGAACAGAAGACAGGAACTCCAAACTACATGAGACACTGGGTAAGAGGACCACAGCTTGCTTCATGGGGAGCTGTGCAAGCACCCGTCGTTACTAACAAAGCTGAGAAAAGAAGCAGCAGAGTTAAGAATGGACCTGCTTCAAGTTGCCACTCCCTAAACCAGGAAGTGCTGCACTCATTTTGTTGTCCTGAATTCCTCTGGAACCCAGCGGGGTTTCTACCATGCAATGCTTCCACCAACACACTCCTCCAAATGTGGACATGCAGCACCACCTCCCCTCCCACTGCCCCAGAGTCTTCCATGCCCAGCATGTGGTCTCCACATGGTAGCAAAGTGCACCGGCTACACCGCAAGTCTTGTAGGGAAGCACCGGGTGATTCCCTGGAATACCTCCTAGATGTTCCACATCTCTGAGGCTCCATCTCCCTGTCTGAGCAGCCTTGTTTCGGCTCTCTGCCTTCCCTCTTTAAAAAGAGATGCTCAGTTCTGCTTTGCTAAACCCTATTTGGCAATGTGTCTAAACACACGCAAACTTAATTAGTTCAGGAGGGAGACTCGGCATTTGTGGTGACGGATAAAAGTAATGGGAAATGAGACAAGTCAGAGCTGGCAGGGAGTCCTCACTCAAGCCTCATTCACTGGCACGGCACTAATCAGATGTGACGCTACACGCTGCTGCACCCAATCGGCGACGGAGCGGTGTGATGTGCTTCTCACCGAGCGGCTGCAGCCAGACTCCCGCTACCCATGTGGCTGGAAACACGAAATGTATTTTCTGCTTTGCCCTGGAGATGCTTCAGGATTGAATTCTGAAGTTAATGGTTTAAAAAAATTTTTTAAAAGGAATAGGGAAAAATGAACCACTCGCTGGAACCTCATGGCCAGGAGTGGAGTCTTCTTTTCCAGCTGACTAGTGAGGCACAACCCATGCGAGAGACCACTGCAAATGGTGAACTGAGTTATCTCAACTCCAGAACTGCAAGTCCTGCTGACTCAGCTCACCCCACAACCCCTATGGCTCAACAGAAACAGGGCTCATCTTTACGTCTATTTGCCCACTGTAGAGCTCTTAAGCAAAAAAAAAAACCCCAAAAATCCACAAACCATCCAGAAAGTTGCCCACTCCATACAGAGACCAAGTTAGGATGTCATTATTTGGGAACCTTGTTATCCCACTGTGACGGTGATGGAAAGATGGGCTTTGAGCACAGGTAACCGTTCCTCACAACCATCACCAAAAGTAGTAAACTGGAGTCTCAGAACAGCAATACAGGAATAAAGAACTGAGAAAAGAGAACAGATGAGAAACAGAAGTTTAGCACATCCCTGCAGCTGTCTCTGTGCTGGTCTCTAATAAAAGTTTAAGCATAACATATAAAGAAAAACAAGCCTCGCTCTTAATTTAAACCAGTAACGTAAGAATTGGCAATATACACCAGCTCTGGACACGGCCCCAGCAGAGACACAGATTTTGACTGAAAAGCTCGCACACCACACTCCTGTCCGGAGCACGGCAAATGTCTCATCTCCACTAGCGCTTGTGCTGCTGCTTTGGTCCTCATATCTCATGTCTCGCTAATCACACCAAGAAGAGGCAAGGAGCTGCCACTCTACAAAGCTCACTCTGCAGGGAAGAACTGGTGCTGATTGCTCCCAGGACGTGTGCAGTTTATTTAGGCTTCTGACTTGGGGAAACCAATGTCACACAGAAAAACCAAGTAACACTACTAACGAGTTGTGGATGTCAGTTTAGCATCGATGTGTCAAACCCATGCTTTACCAGTGTGGTAACAACAGGAGACTTTACCCAGTGCTCCGAGGAAATGAAAAGCTGAAGCGAGATTACAGGAACCCAAATAAATTCAGCACAGTATGACGCTGATCTGCAAACACCTTACCAGTTAGACTAATCTAATTTTTAGATATTTAACTCAGGTTTTTTAAATAACATTTTTATGTTGGTAGTCTACCTATTTTCACAACAAAACACACACAGACACTTGCAGATCCCAGTGCAGCTCCCCACCTGGTACTCTCCAGGTACAGTCACCCAGCTGCTGAAGATGACCTTAACGATAAGAACACCGATGAAGCGAGCCAGACTTGGCTTGTACTGTCTTTCCAAAGACTTCTCTGTGATTCACATCCAGTTAGTGTGCCAAGATGACAGAGAGAAAGCCTTGCATGCTGAAGTCTTGTAAGGACTGGGTGCACAGAAACAGAGCTCCACGTATGCGCTCAGAAATATCCATTCCTTTGGAATGTATATTGGACAAAAGGGAAAACATCACAAAGCTCTAGTTTAAACCTTTCTTGGAGTTCTGAAAGGATTCATTCGCTATAGGGAATATCCTAGGCAGTGATCTTGCACTGTGCCCAGCACCTACCTGTTTAAGAAACAACCCTCCACTCCCAATTACACATAGCAAACAACAATTTCCCTAAGAAGCAAAGATTGGAGACGGTTGGAGGCTTGTAAAGACAAAGACACAGGCACTACGGGCAAGCGTGGGGCAATAAAGCCCAGAAAAATCTCCCTCCCGTTCCATACTCACATCACTTTCAAATCCCAGTCTCCACAGGTCACAAAAATCGACTTGACGCTGGGATCTAAGAGGCCTTCCTTCGCCATCCACTCGTCAACCCTCTGAAAGGAAGGCAAGAAAAGGGGATGAGTTTTGCAGAGACAGGCCGAGCCACAACAGTTAAACTCAGATAAGCTGCTTGCAATCAAGAGAGAAGAAAATTGTGATCTTATCCACCCTCTCCCTCTCTCTCTTCTCTCTTTGCTTGCCATCTCGACAACAGCACGTTTGGACCTTTGAAGATTTCTGATAGGAGACATCAGGCAACCAGAGCAGAGATGATCTTATCAGACACGGCAGCAGCTCTGTTTGTGGAGGGATGGAAGTTGTGCAGCGTTAACGGGACGATACAACTATGCCGTTACCCCGCATTCCTCCTCCGCTTTTCCTTTCCCTGCACCAAATGGGCTCACTGTGAACGTAACTTGTGTCCCCTCCAGCGAGGAAAAAACACGGGCATCCTTGGACAGCACCCCTCACCTACAGCATTTCTCACATGCTCCGATTCATACAGCTCCAAGGGGATATGGGAGAGGAGGAGAAAGGGAAGGGCTGGGCACACACTGGCATTGTGTCACAGTAACAAGCAAAGCCACACTTTGTCCCGTTCCTCTCCAGGCTGGGTCTCTCTTTCCTTCTTACAGTTCTGAGGAGGTGGTTGTTCAGGGTACAGTGTGGATTTAAAGTAAATCCACTGTTCTGATCAACTTCCTATGGGAACAGCTGTTCTGGATCCACTTCAGAAATGGGCCACGTTAATCTGGAGGACACACACCCACCTCGGGGATTAACCAGGAAGAACTAACCTAGACTAAAACCCCTGCACAGACACTTATCCAGCTAGAACTAGCAAATGACGTGCCCAAAATCTTGCAGGGGCAGGTGACTGGCGATCAGTTGCTATTATGCAGCCTCAGTAGCAGCATTTCCAGTGCTTCAACAAGAGAAATCCCTGCTCTTTTCCCTCACTTGACACCTTCCACTCCTGAATAAACTACCATGCCCCAGAAGCTGCCTGACCCAAATCTCATTTTAAGCTAGAAACATGCTGTGGTATGAACGTCTTTTCGGTCCAAATAAAAAAAAAAAAGTAAATCTACAGAAACGTTTCCACACTCTAAGAAGCTCCTGTAGAAACAGAATGAACCATTTTCCATAATGCTCTAGCAACGATGTACACTCACCCATCAAGGCAAAGAGGGCTCTCCCTCCTGGGGAAGCAGGCACCGGTATCCGTATGCTCACGGACACGCACCGCTGCTACTGCTCTCCGGAGAGCACCAGGTGGGGGTTTGCATGGATGCAAGATGTCACCTTTGCAGAGCACCGTCTTTGGCCTCGTGTCACGGCTGCAGCCTCTCCGGCAGAGGACAGCGCTTCTTTCTGTGACCGATCATACAACCCTCTGGAGCAAAGCTCTCCCCAGAGCAGCGCTCAGCCCCTCAGCCACGCTTCGGCCTCCCGTCGGCTGCCGGGATCTTCCAGCCAGCCCTGCACGAGGCTCCCCGGAGTGAAGGACAGCAGCAATAACCTTTCTAAACTCCCTGATGTGAGCGCCCATGAAGTGCTGTCTCCACAGAGGATTTTAAAGCCTTTAATTTGATTTCCTCACATAAGCAATTGTTGCAATTATTCTGATTAGGAACAATTAGGTAACACAGCAGTGGAAATCCTGACAGAGATGATGCATCGTACAGCAACCTGCAGCCCAAGCGGGCTCTGCTTGAGGAGGTTTCCTTCACTATTTGACTACCAACAAAGATACTGATGGAGAAATACTTCCAAGCTAATTAAGCCCTAAATGCTGTAGGAATTCAACATTAAGCAGATGGCATTATTAGGGCTATATCTGCATTCGCACATCCTCCAGATTAGATTTTAGAGGCATTTTCTTTCTATAGTACATGTATTATTGAGCATTTAAATAGGTAGAAAAAATTAATTTAATAAAGGGCTAAGGGAGGGGTCAGAAAATGAAGGCAGAAGCTCCCAGAGCCGTGGTCTCGAGCAATGTCTTGGTGCTTTAAAACTGGCTCAAGCAAGAATCGCCTCTTCTCCTATCTACTGGCAGGAGTTTGGATATCTTGTCAGCACCCTTGACATGAACAGCTGGAGATGACAGATCAATGGTTCAATACTCTCAGCAGCGTGTCACCAATGTGACAGCAAATGTTATTCTAATGAAGCTGTAATC